AACAGGTGTGCTCCCAGCTCAGAGCTTGTGAACAGGTGTGCTCCCAGCCCAGAGCTTGTAAACAGGTGTGCTCCCAGCCCAGAGCTCGTACATCGCCGCAGGTCGGATCCATCCTTACTCACTCGGAGGATCAAGATGGGCAGTGTCCTCTTGTGTGCGCCAGTCTCAGCCTCGGAAACCCAGCAGAGGCTCACTTAGGAGTCAGGCCTGACTCGGTGCCAAAGAGTGTGTGTTTTGAGGGTTTGAGTTGTTTTCAAATAAAAATTGGAACGTGGAACAGAATTTCAGATTCTCATTGAATCCTGACCCACTAGACCCACAGAGGCTGAAGGAATCCCTGAGGGCACCGTCCTGAGCTGCACTCTTCAACCTGGAACAGAGACCGTTCTCTGAAATCACCTCTTAACAAAGGAGCCGGTGAGCTCACCAAGTGAAGACTATCATCTCCTTGAGAAACGTGCTGCTTTCAAAATGACCTGTGTGAGGCAGGCGGACGACCCTTCCTCGAAAGCAGAGAGGAGTTCAGGGCCGCCATCCCAAACCCTGAGAGGGGCCAGCTGTTGGGGAAATCATAGACTGACACATGTCACTCATCCATTCGTGCAGGAATTGGTGCAGCGAAGCATGCTTTGCTCTGTGTACTTGCACCAAAAATACAATAAATTTTTGTTGTTGTTGTTTTTTATTTTTGTGTGAGTGTACCGTCAAATGAGATCTGACTGGTACAGGAGGAGATTGTCCCTCCTTCCCCGGCAGAGCATCTGGTGGATTTGAACCGTGTGCCTCTGGGATTGTAGTTGCAGCTCCTTGCCACTAGGCCACCAGAGCGCCCCAATAAATGTATTTTTAAAAAACTGACCATGTGAGTGGTCTGTCCATCCCTCTGGAACCTCTAACAGGGTCAGGGGGCCCCCATCGCTCCCTGCTTCTAAGTCCTGCTGAACCTCCCAGCATTGTTGGAAGCAGCGATTTCACCACAGACAGACGGATAGTGGCTGCACGTGAGACACGTGAGCTGGAAACGGAGCCCAGGTCGCCGCGTGGAAGGTGGAGTCACAGCTGACAATCACAAAGTGTCGTCGCTGGTTTTGGAAAGGCCCCCTCCCCGGTTTAAGGCTTCCGTTTCCTCCTCTGCAAAATGAGGGTGATAGAAGTTACTTGACAGGGCGGCCACAGAGTTCCCCACTTGAGCAAGATCTGCATCTTCTTGCAAGGCCAACAGCGTCCCCTCCCCGGTTGTGACACCCCAAAATGTCTCCAGACACTGTCACGTGTCACCTGCTTGAGAACTCTCTCAGGGGGAAACACCGAACAGTTACATAAACGGGAAAGAAAAGTGGCTTTTATTGTGCATACTGGAGAAAGCAGAGAGCTGGTGGTCAGACCCCAGGGGTCACAACCCAGCAGTCTAGACAATTCAAAAAGCCAGTAAAGGTTCTACCTTCCCATGAGTTACTAAAACTAGCCCCTCAGGTCGATTTTTACAAAATTCTTCTCTGATACAAGGTGACGTCAGAAGGTCTTTGTAGGTGCCCAGGACTTTTAGTAGAGACGGCAAAGGCGGGAAAAACAAAGGTGAAGACTTCAGGAAGGCTTTCTTACTATTGCAAAGTGGTCTGTGAGAGTCTGAAAACATTTTTCTTTTACCCAGAAAAAGGTGTTGGATGGCGGGGTAGGGTTGGGGAGTGGGGTGTGCTATATCGATGAAGAGGACACTGGAGTTCTGAGCGCTATTGTTCTAGAGAAGGCTTGTTGTTGTGTACCGTTGATGTCACACTGGAACTGACCCATAGCTGTTCCTCCAGCGGGTTTTCCAAAGCGGTAAGTTGCATGGAAGGAGATGGTGCTTCTTTCTCCCACGGAGCGGCAGTGGATTCAAGCCACGTGGTGGGTTCAAACCATGTACCTTTGTAGCTCATTACCGCTAAGGCACCAGAGCTCCTGTCGAGGAGGGTAGGTCTTCTACATTCTAAGCTCATGCGTGGAAGTCGAAGAAACTTCTAGCAAGAGCTTGGTGCTCCTGGAACAAAGCCTGAAGGGCTTTTTGACAGCACCTGGATGTAGGTCACACCCTGCATGCAGGAAGCCGCATCTGCTGCGGGTGGGTCTATGCGCTGGGGGCTTCAGCCTCTACGGCAGAACCATGGGGTGAGCCCAGGAAATGCTTGATGCCAGCTGCCTTTGAGTCATCCCATCTCCTGGTGGCCCCAGACACACAGGAGGAGACACTGTCCAGACCTGCACTGTCCCAGTACCGGTCAGCTGTGGATCAGACTGTTGTGACCCATGGAGTTAACATAAACTGCATCTTGGAAATTAATGTCCAGGCCTTTCCTCCTGGTTTGTGTGCAAGCCCCACTGAAACTCTTCGACATCAAGCCGCTGACTGATGAGTGGGGGCTGCACGGGAAGCACAGTGGCTGCGAATCACACCTGGGTCTCCCGTGTGAAAGGCAGAAACTCAGACATGGAATTATCAGATTGGCAGCCATCGGGGTGCTGGGACTAGGTCCGTCTGGCCAAGGCCTGGGTTCTGCCCCCATGCTGGGCACACAGGCACCTGAGAGGATCCTGAGACAAGGCCAGCTGGGAGCCGGCAGGCCGAGGAATTCTGAAAGAAGGCCTGGCTGGGTGGTGCCTTGTGCCTCTGGACCGAGGCTGTAATTTGGGAAGTCTCTTGTCCTCAGGGTTTCTGAAGAAATCACTTCTCCTAGGAGCACCCCTGGGTGTTCTGCCAGTCTGTCCTTGAACCTGTTGTCTGTCCCAGAGGCGTGGGGGAGGGGGGACTTCTTCCTGGCAATCAGGCTGCTGTGGTCCAGCGTCTGTGACAAGGCCTGGTTTCAGCAAGGAAATTGGTCAAGTCAGATTTCAGGCTGGGAGAAGTTCCTCAAAACACAACACACAAACACAATGTGGATGAACTTTGTATGCAAGCCAATATAAAAGAAATGTTTTTAAAATAACAAACACGGCAAGCTCTGGTGGCCTAGTGGCAAGAAGGTGTACTACAATCCCAAAGGTACGCAGTTCGAATCCACCAGATGCTCTGCTGGAGAAGGAGGAACAATCTCCTCCTGTACCAGTCAGATCTGATTTGACGGTACACACACAAAAATAATAAAAAAATAACAAATACAACACAGAGCAATGGAGGGACAGGTGAGGGTATGCAGCCTCGGGACTTGAGTGTCAACTGTCACCTTTGTCTCTTGTCCTTACCTGCTGTCAAATTGGCTTCAGTTCACACACTCCGTACACAACAGAACAAAGTGCTGCCCAGCCCTGTGCCATCTCCATCATCGCTGGTGCACCTGAGACCCGGCGGGCACCGTGGGTGCTGAGCGCCCTCCCACTTTGGGCCTCATCTTCGGCACTCCATCAATCAGTGCTCTGTTGAACTCCATAAAGTTTTCATTAGCTAATTTTTGAAAGCTGGTTGGCAATCGAGGGGAAAGACAGAGATGGGGACACACAGGAATGGAGGACAGGTCAGAAAGCTTGAAGGCAGGGGGCTAACAGCTGGAAGAACCGAAGCCTCTATGCTGCGCCTTTCTGTGGTTTTATTGAGAATCACCAGGAAGTAAACAAAGGAAAATCACAAGGAAGTAAATAAAAACAAAGAATCAAGGGGAAATAAACCACAAAGAAATCTTTACTAAATAAGGCCTGAATTCTTCTCTATTGTTTACCTTATGCTTATCTCAGGAGAGAGGGATTAGTAAATACAAACGAAGAATTATGGAAAAGCCCGAGATCTGTGGTGTTTAACCTCTGTGAAGCCCAAGGTCTGCATTGGTGCTACAGGGGGAATTCTAGCTTGTATCTATGCCTCCCTCATCTCCTGATGCAGCATTTGGCTAAATATTAATATTAAATCTGATACTCAGCTTCCCACAGGTGGCCAAGCCTTTCTTCCTCCTCTGCCACAGTCTGGAAGCTCCACCAAAAGCTTGTCCACCTTGGGTGACCCAGCTAGTATTTGAAACATCAATGGCATCACTTCCAGCATCACAGCAACATGCAATTGCCCCCACATGACATGCTGAGAGGTGGGCGCCGGGAACTCTCTGTGGTCACAATGTGCACACAAACTGAAGATGCTCCCTTTGGTTGAAATGAGGTGGACTTGGGCCAAGTGACAGTGGACTTCAGAGTCACTTTCAGTGATGGCACTCTCTCTATGTCCAGTCGCCGACATTGATGGCACTCTTTCTGTGTGCAGCCTTGATCAAGGAGCGGCAGATCTTCAAGCAAGATCTGAGTCTCGGCGTACCTGGTGCACCATTTCGGAGGTGAGGGTTGAGCTCACGATGGGCCTGGACACTGAGCTGCCAGACCTGCCGTCCCCACAGCCCACGGTCCCTCCGTGAGATCTCGCTTCTCACCCAGAAAAGAGATGAGCAGGGGACGGGGTCTGCAGAGGAGCACATCCCCAGCTGGCTGAGGGGTTCGTAGCCCCCCAAAACCAAATCCCAACCCGTATGCCTAAGGAATCTTGGTGGTACAAAGGGTTAAGCACCTGGAAAAATCAGTAGCTCCGAGACGGAAAGATGTGTGTCCGCTTCTGTCAAGATGGCAGCGGGGAAACCCTCGTGGGCAGTCCTGTGCTGGAGGGCTGGCCTGAGTTAGAATCACTCCGTGGGCGCGGGTGTTAATGCCTGCGGGTGTAATCTCATTTGGAAATGGCTTGGTTTTGACACGCTGATGATGCGGGATTATTATAGATACATTATGAGATATAAACATGATGAAGCAAACAAATGAAAGAAAAGAGAGACAAGCCATGCGAAGACAGCCCAGGAGCGGAGTCTCAAAGGGGCCAGGACTTTCCTCCAGAGCCGCCTGGGGAAGAAACTTGCCCCAGAACCAGCCCCTGAATTCAGACTTCCTATTTCCTGTTCTGTGAGAGAATAAACGTGTTTGTTAAAGCTTATTCCATCGTAACAGCATTAAACAACTAAGAATTTTGGTGCCAGAAAAGTCAGGTACTTCTCTAACAGAAACCTAAAATGTGGAAGTGGTTTTGGAATTGAGTAATGAGTGGAGGCTGGAAGAGTTTTAAAATGCCTAGACAGCGATGAGTGGAGTAATACAAGCCTAGGTTACCTTGATAAGACTGTTGGTGGCATTATGAACACCAGGGGCGATTTGAGCTATCAGAAAGGTCTCTATCATCTTAGAGAATGCATATGGCACCATCAGTAGAATGTTAATAATTATGTGCCTGTTAAAAGAGTTCTCATGAGGCTTCAACAGGAAATAGTCGATGAGAGATTAGACCGTGGAGGAAAGTTAATGTTTTTAACGCCGAAGGATTTGTGTGAATGATGTTCAAACGTTTGGTGGACAGGAGAACTTGTAAGTGATAAAGCTGAATGGATATCTGGCTGGTGAAATTTCTAAGCAAGATCTTAAAAGGCACATATAGTTTCTCCTTATTATTGATAGGGAGCTTGGCAGCATGATGGTAAGAAGCAGCTCTGCCAACCCAAAGGCGCACGGTTCTAATCCACTAGCTGCTCCATTGGAGAAAGATGGACAATTTCCTCCCATGCAATTAACCGCCTCTGAAAACCCAACAGAGAGTCAGCTACGGGTTGCTTCCAACTCGATGGCACAAACAGCAACAACGTGATATTTGTAACAAAATCCAAGAGGAAAGAGATGGACTTAAAAGTGAACTGTGCAAAATGAGACAGAACTTAAAGATCTGGAAGAGCCTGGTGTACAAACTAAAGACACAAGTCTGAGATGTTCGCCACAGGTGGTGTGTCACAGACATAGATCCTGTGACTCAGGGCTCGAGCCCGGGGCCACAGCAAAAAGCCCATCACCTCAGACTGAAGAGGCAGGAGAAGGAAGGGAAGAGGCCTGTCCTGCAGGCATGACAGGGTACACAGGAGCAACATCTGCTGTCCTGGGGAGAAGGCAAGGATTCCTATTGGGTTAGCTGGTCGAGATCTGACTCTCTTACACCCAGACGACCTTGACTCCAATGTGTGACCAGCTCCATGTTCAAGTGCCAAGGTGACAACATCTCTGCCCGAAGCTGAAGGAGCGGGGTTAACTGTCCAAGGGACAGAAGAATGGGGCTTGCCGGGGCACCACGGGATGCCCGATAGTGTGGGAGGGCCACTTACATGGGGCTAGGAGAACGGGGCACCCAAAGAGGAGAGAGCAGAGTCCCCATCACAATGGACCAGAAGGGGGAGGTCAAGCCCAGGACCAAAGGGCCTCCAGCGGAGTCCAGAGGGCATGGCCAGACCCAGGGAGTCTATGTGGCTCATTCTGCTGGGTTTGGACTTGCTCAGTGGCTGTTATCCGCCCCCAAGGTCCTACCATTTGTAATTGAAACGTCTGCCCCATGCTGGCTCTAACACCGGGCTTTAGGAAAGAAAACTGGGCCAGCCTAGCAGTCAGACCTGCGATTGGCCAAGGATTCAGTAATCTCCGTGAGAAAGGATCTGGGAGGGAGAGAAAAGAATCCCCAAGCGCAGGTAAGTGGGCAACACTCTTCAGAAGCTAAGAGGGAGCTGAGGGTGCTGGTCCCCAGTCCTGACGCTGTGTTAGGCGTGCACAGAAATGCAGAGATGAGTTACGGCGACAGGAGGAAGTGTGCGGGTTATAGGCAAATACGGCATCACTTTCTAGATAGGCCTTGAGCTTCCTTGGATTCTGGTGTGGGGAGGATCACGGATGCTTCTTGGAATCAGTCTCCTGTGGATACCAAGGGCAACTATGGTCTCCATTCACTGTAGTCTCTATTTCACAGTTTCTCTGCTGAGGAGGGATTTCTCCCAACGATGGAATACACCTCGTCTCTCCCATGTTTGATTGAAAACGTTTGGAATGACGGGATATGATGCCGTGAATGCGCGGCAAGGACGTAGGGAGCCCAGGTGGTGTACTCTGGGGGATTTTCGCTGGTGGATTCGAACCTCCTGCCTTTGGGTTATCACCGCTAGGCCTCCGGAGCTCCAGAGGTGGAACTGACAAAAACAGTTTTTATGCTGGTAGAATTTCTGACATCCCACCTTCTGGGCGTTAAAACTCTGCCCACTTCAGTTTCAGACATAAAACCAGACATCAATCTTTGCATTCATTCGCTCCCTCCCTCCCTCCCTCAGATGCCCAGCAGGTGTTTGTATGAGCATCTCCTAAGGGCCAGCACTCTGTCACCTGTGACTGTCACTGTGCATGTCCCCGAGGCCGGGCGGCGGTGTCACTGTGTGTGTCCCTGAGGCCCAGCTGCAGAACCTGAGGGTTTGAGCACACTCTTACCACGATGCTGGTGGGAAACATTTGCTTCTTCTCCTAGTTCCCTGGTGCTGCTGTTACAGAGGTGCCATGAATGGATGGCTTTAACAAACAGAGGGGCAATTTTTTCTAGTTTTGGTGGGCTCTAAACCCACACTAGGGAAGTCTCTCTCTCTCTCTCTCTGTGTTGTTTCACTCTGTGTCTGTCTGTCTCTCTCTCTCTCCCTCCCTGTCTCTCTCCTTCCCTCCCTGTCTCTCTCGGTCTGTCTCTCTGTCTCTCTCTCTCTCTGTGTGTGTGTGTGTGTTGTTTCGCTCTGTGTCTGTCTGTCTGTCTCTCTCTCCCTCCCTGTCTCTCTCCTTCCCTCCCTGTCTCTCTCGGTCTCTCTCTCTCTCTCTCCCTGTCTTTCACTCTCTCTGTCCCTCTGTCAAATCTGGAGGAAGGTCTTTGTTTCCCTCAGCATGTGTAGACCTGGCATTCTTTGGAGACCTCCACACGGCCTGGCCTCCTCTGGGGTCCAGGGTTTCCTCCCTTAGATATCCAGCCCAGAAGACACGGTCCACTCCCGGTGGTTAATTCCTTGGTGATTCGGAGGCCCCTGCCCCCTCGGCTTGCTCTCCTCACCTTTCATCTCTGCTGAACTCAAAGGGGTTACAGCACCTACGGCCAGTGGGGCCAGAGGGTCCCAGAAGCACTGGTAGAATTCACTGCTAGGACAGGACAGGGCCTGCTCCAGGAAGGGGGGTGGGCACACTGCACCCAACACCACCCCATCCCAGCCCTGACCACTGGGGACTCAGTCCTGACAGTGATCACAGCTGAGGCCAGGCCTGGGGAAGGGACAGTATAGGACAGAGTCGGCTCCAGGCAGGGGTTGGGCACGTCGCACCTAACACGACCCCAACCCCGCCCTGCCCACTCCTGGGGACTCGGTCCTGAAAATGATCACAGCTGAGGCCAGGCCTGGGGAAAGAACTGTTCTGAACAGAATCTCCACCTGAGAAGGAAGGTGGGACTCCAGCAGAGATTCTGAAAAGGGCCCCAGGCGCCTCTGGAAGACACGGAGACCCAAGCTTTTGGAGTGGAAGCATCACAACTGTGTCTGCTTTCCAGAACGAAGAGTGATTTCTGCAACCCCACAGTTCTTCACAGTTCACAAAAGGGTCACAGGAAAGTCACAGCCCCAAATGCAGCCAGCACCAGCCTCTGGGCGTGGCCCCAGGGATTCCCTCCCCCAGAACCCCTGTGAGGGGGTGGGTGCTGGATCTGCAAGCCCTCCCTCCCCTAGCAGCACCCCTACAACCCTGGGAGGGTGGGGAATAAAGTTAGTCAAAGACGTCACAGATTCCAAGCGCTACAGATGGGCATATGGGCCCCACAGACAGAAGAGTTCACGGTGGTGCAAATGTTAACTCCGGACTGCCAGAAAGCCTGGCAGTTCAGATCCATCCAGAAGCGCCTCAGAGAAAAGGCCTGGTGATCTGCTTCCCAAAATTCAGCCGCCAGGAGGCCTCTGGAGCAGCTCTGATTACCCAAGTAGTCCCAGGAGTTGAAGTCGGCTCAGCTGCAACTGGTGGTGGTGGTCGTGGTGAGGGTCTCAGGGTGCAATTGTGTGTGGAGGGGGCAGTGGTAGCCTTACCAACACTAAAATAAAGACATTAGAACAGAACCAAGAAGGTGAGAATGTGATCGCAGCAGCCACCACAGCAGGTGCAAAGGCCCTGAGGTGAGGCGTGCGAGCTATGGGAAAAGGACAGCCAGGCGGCCAGCATGCCCCCTCTGGCCTGCCCGAATGCCAGGAACTTTCCGCTTCACCCTCTGCTGCTGACGTTCTCTGACTTTCTGTCATTTTATTATTATTGTAGATGTTGTTTGAGGCTGTCAGATCGATTCTGACTCGGCGCGGTTATGTGTACACGTGAAATGAAATGAGGTCAGCGCCCGCGTCACCCCCACATCTCTGCTATGCTGAAGCCCATTGCTGCAGTCTCTGCGCCACTGTCAGTGTGGATGCTCTTTCACTGACCCCCACCTACTTTTCTCAACATGATGGCCTTTTCCAGAGACCAGTCCTTCCTGACAACAAATCCAAAGAACGTAAGACAAAGCGTGGCCATCCTTGCGTCTAAGAAGCATTGAGGCTGTGATTTGTTCCTCCTTTCAGCAGACCGTGGTATATGCTCACTATTCTTCCCCAGAACCACAACTCAAAGGCACTGATTCTTCTTCTGTCATCCTTATTCACTGACCAACTTTCAGGTTACCTAGGAAGCAATTGAAAACACCCTGGCTTGGATAAGGTGCACCTCAGTCTCTAACCTGATGCTCTTTAGCTCTTTTAAGAAGGACCTTGACAGCAGATTCACCAATGCAACATGTCTTTTTTGATTTCTTGACTGGGACTACCATGAATGTTGATTGTAGATCCAACTAAAAGAAATCATTGACAACTTCAATCTTTTCTCCATCTCTTATGATGTTGTTGTTGTTGTTATGTGCCATCAAGTCGTTTGCGACTCATAGCGACCCTATGTACAACAACCCTAAACCCTGCTCTATCCTGTGCCAATCTCATTGCCTCTGACACATCCATCCCGAGTACCCCAGTCACTGAATCAATCCACCTCATAGAGGGTCTTCCCCTCCTGCGCTGTCCCTCTACTCTGCCCAGCATGATGTCCCTCTCCAAAGACATGTCTCTCCTTACAACATGTCCAAAGTATGTCAGACGAAGCCCCAGAATCCTTGCCTCCAAGGAGCAGCCTGGTTTAATCCTCTCTACGATGAATCTGTTTGTTTTCTTGGCAGTCCATGGTACATTCAATACTCTTCTCCAGCACCACAGCTCAAAGGCGTCAATTCTCCTTCTATCCTCCCTAGTCATTGTCCAACTCTCTGATGCATAACAAGTGATTGCAAAAACCATGGCCTGTATCAGGCGCACCTTAGTCTCCAGAGAGACACCATTGCTCTTGAGTACTTTAGAGAGGTCCCTAACCACAGACTTTCCCATCGCAATACGATTTTTGATTTCCTGGCTACTGGTGCCAAGAGTGTTGACCGTGGAGCCGAGCAAACTGAAGCTGGGAACAATCTCAATTATGATACTGCCCATGAATGACCCGGTGGGGAGGATTTTTATTTTCTTGGTGATGAGATGCACTCTATTTTGAAGGCTGTGATCTTTGAGTATCAGCCGTGCACAGGGGCTGTCCTAATCTTCTCTGTATTCTAATCTGTATCTTCTCTGTATCCCAGTCTCCTCTGTATTGTTCCAGTTTTAGCGTGTGTGTTGCTGAAGGGAACACTGAAGGCTCTAGTCTTTGAACATATGCAGAAAAGGCTTTCAATCTTCACTTTCTAGAAGCAAGGTTGTGCCATCTGCATCATGCAAATGGCAAAATGAGTCTTCTCTGATTCTGACACCACATTCTTCATAGAGTCCAGCTTTGCAAATTATTTGCTCAGCGTACAGACCAAACAGCTATGGACAAAGGATACGACCCTGACACATTTTTTTCCCTTATTTTAAATCATGCTGTGTTCCCTTGTCCTGTTTGGACACCTGTTTCTTGGGGTACATACACATTTCTCATGAGCACATTTATTATTTTCTTTCTTTTTTTGTCATGTGCACATTTAAATAATCTGGCAGCCCATTCTTCTCAATATTAGCTGTAATTTGTTATGATCCACACAGTCAAATGCCTTTGCATAGTCAAGAAAACACAATCAAATATTTTTCTTGAATTCCCCACTTTCAGCCATGGTCCATCAGACGTCAGGAATGATAACTCCTGCACCACGGTCTCTTCTGAAGCCAGCTTGAGTTTCTGGCAGTTCTCTAACAATATACTATTCAAAGCATTCTTTAAAAATTTTTTACTCACATGTGATATTGCTGATATTGCTTGATAATTTCCACATTCTGTTGTTCCACCTTTTTTTGTCATGGGAACAGATAAGGCCCTCTTCCTGTCAGTCTGTTTGTGCTTGTAGGGAGGGGTATTAAGTGGCATCGAACATGGCCACCTTGCACTGCCCTTTGGCAGGTAACAGGCACGGAGGAGAGCAGCTGGCATGTCCCGCAGCTCAGGCAGTCGGTGTATTCTCTCTCCTGATGTGACTGCCTCTCTGACGTAGCTGAGGCACCACTGATGATATGCCCTGGCTTACGGTCACCTGCCCAGACCTCTCCATCCACCAGCAGACACTCAGGACCTGCTGTTACTGCCACAGCCTGACCCGGGGACTGGGGACACCGTGAACACAGGAGGGAGGGCGCCTGTATCCTAACAACGAAAGGCCAAAGAACTCCACCCCACTGCTTTCAAGTTGATCCCAACTCATAGATACCAGCTTCATAGGAAGCTGGATAAGGAGGGGAGTTAAGCATTGGACTGATAATCAAAAGGCTAGTGGTTCAAATCCACCAGCTGTTGTTGAGGGAGAAAAACAAGCTCCTTGGAAACGCTGGGGGAAGTCCTACGTTGTCCTCCACAGACACTGTGAGAGTCTAGCAATGGAGACATAGAATCGGGACAATTCCAGAGGTGACTACTGAAGAGACTCTGTGTTCCTCGGGGCCTCCGTGCCAGCCACCATGGCCACCTAGCTGCTGCCCCAGCCGCAGGGCCTTTGCACCTGCTGTTTTCTCTGCCTGGCATGCCCTTTCTCCACTCCCAGGTGGCCATGACCTCTTTTCCACACAAGTTCCCACTCATATATCACCTACCAAAGGCTTTCCCTGACCAGTGTCCACTGGGGGCTCCAGCCCCATTACTCAGTTATCGCCTGTCCACTGATGCCTCACCTTTAGAAGTCCAGGAGGCGACTTGTGCCTTCACTGGGACCTGTAGCAGAAAGAGCCCCCCTGAAATACTGCCTGAGTATGTGAGTGAGTGAGTGAGAGAGGAAGTGAGTGCCCAGTGGGGATTACTCTTGGTGTGAGTGTGGCCGAGAGGCTCTCAGGAGGGGCAGATAAGAGTGTGGGTTCTGAGTTCTGGTTCCCCTCCCCATGACCCTGTGGCTAGGGTGCACCAGGCAGGCAAAGATGGGGTCACCAGGCCTTCTTCAGAGAGAAGGTAAAGTGTCAGGGCCTAGAGTCCAGGGTAGTACCAGTGCTGCTTCTCACAGATGCAAGGCCCCCAACACACAGGATACCCCACCTCTCACAGACCCGTTGCAGACATCAACACTGTCCTCACAGTACTGCACCCCAAAACCAGAGCTGCCTCCCATGGGCCTGTGCCCCAAAGCCAGCACTGTCTCCCACAGGCCTGCATCTAGACACCAGGGCTGCCTTTTACAAGCTATGCAACCTTGGGTGGTCACTTCCCGGCCAGCACTGTCTCCCACAGGCCTGCATCTAGACACCAGGACTGCCTCTTACGGGCTGTGCAGCCCTGGGATGGTCACTTGCCCTCTCTGTGTTTTGTCTCCTTATCTCTACGAACGGGTATAGTCAGAGGTGATCTGGTGAAAGGTTGTATTGTGTGGCAACAATGCCTGATTCCATGAAACTCCAGGGAGTGTGAGGTTGACATCTGTCAGAGAAGGAAAATTCAAATCTCCCCCAGGAATAGGGGCACAGGGAGGTGGTGGCCACACCCCCTCAAAAGCAGGCGTCTAGTGAGACCAGACAAAGCAGGCAGCCCCATCCCTCTTCCAGGCTTCACTGCATTTCTGGAATGGATCCACGGCACCATGGGGACGGCTGGCCTTCGTCCAGAACCCCCACTTCTTGGGGAAGGGCTCCCATTTCTGGGATGGTGACTGTGATGATGCAGGCTGGTGGTCAGCAGCTGCAGGGTGAAGTCGGACTCACAGCACCCCATGTGGAGAACGGCACACCACGCGTCTTCATGGCTGTACACAAGCTCATCCCAGGCCCTTCTCCCGAGACACCGCAGGGAGTCTTTTTTTTCTCTCTCTTGTTCTGTACTGTCAAACCGGACCCAACTGGCACAGAAGGAGATTGCATCTGGTGGATTTGAACCATGAGCCTTCAGGATTGCAGCCTAGCTTATTACCACTAGGCCACCAGAGCTCCCTCTCAGGTAGTCTTGATCCAGTCACCTTCCAGGAGACAAGAGAGGTAGATGTTTATACCTCTCGGGAATTCTTGGGTTATGGCCCTCTGCCCATCCAGCGCTGTGCCGTCCACTGGGACCCCTAGTGGACGGGGAGGACTGCCCATGGGAGTCCCCCGGCTGGACTCTAGAAGCACACTGCCTCAGCTTCTCCCCAGGAGCCCTCATGGATTTGAAACACCCACCTTCACTTAGCAGCCTAATACTTAATCCTCTGGGCCACCAGGAGCCCTAGGTTAGAAAGAATTTGCCATGTGGGTGAAGGGGAGCCATTGTGCCTTTGTCCATGACCCCCTCAGCAGGGCCTGCGTGCCTACCCCCACCCCCAGCTTCATGGAGCAGGAAATCAAGGGAAGGGTGCCCGGGCTCCCAGCCAAGGGACAACGCCATCCGTGGGAGGGCCAGAGGACTGACTGTCAGAGGCGGGGGCCAGCCTGGGGCTTCCTGGGGCTGCACTCGGCGCGCTGGCCGGGCTTGTGTGTCCTGTTGGCACAGGGCCCACGTGAGTGCCCCCCAAGCCGTGTACCACACCTTCACCCTTGTGGAATGGGTCAAGGCCACCACCACAGGCTCCCAAGCTGAGCTCGACAAGGGATAGTCTTAGTCTTCCTCTCTCGTGATGACACACGTAAGCTACTTCCACACCCGAGGTCCAGGTCTAACCACTGACCCCCACTCTGGTTCCGAGAGATGCCACAGAGAAGCTCCCGAAAGGACCTGGGAGCCGGTGCTGCCCCAGAGCCGCGTTGTTCCAGCCGCCTTATCTCAGTGGGGCTGCTTGTTGCCCTGTGTTTCATCACCTGCCCGTCTCAGAGACTCTCCAAACGGGTGAGCAGGCGCTGGGCGCTCAGAGAATGTTCCCTACAAATGTGCCAGCAAAGCGGCCTCGGCCAAATAAAACCGAGAACTGGCAACTCCCCGGGGATTCCTGGGACAGCTGCAGAGGCCCAGCTGGGAGGCGGCCATGCATGCCCCCTCCCTGTCCTCGCTCTCCCTGGAGCAGTTGGTCCCCCGTGAAGATTCGGGGAGGGGGTGCAGTGACTCATTGTCAGCCAGTCTCTGGGTGAGGAGGGCAGCTGCCTGTGTGGTGGGCAGGGGGTGGGGCGTGAGTGTCCCCACAGCTGCTGGCTTTCTTTAAGCAGAGCTGCCTGGGGGCTGTCCCCTCCCAAGGTTACCTCATTTCCTGTCCTGTGGCGGGAGTGGTGTGCATACCTGGTTGCAAAGATGTCTGCTGGAGAGCTTTGCAAATGCCCTTCTGAGATTCTGCAGTGATCTGGGGTGTGGCCTTGGCATCAGGACTTCACAACTCTTTCTCCCATAGCTGTCTTGTGTGAATGTGGGGAGAACTGGAGGTTTCTCAAGAAACCTTCCTCAGAAGTGGATTGCCAGGCCTTTATTCTGAGGCACTTCTGGGGAGACTCAAGTGACCTATCCTCTGGTTAGCTTCCAACTGCGTTAGCCATCCACGTGGCCTTGGGACTCACACAGCAGCTGGTTAGGTTCTTAGGTTTCTCGATGGTTCTAAGGGCAGCAGAGACAGAGAACCTCGACCTCAACCTGAGGATGAACCACAGACAAATGTGAGGCTCCCAGAACCTGGGGTCCTGGTGAGACCCAACAGTGGGGCAGTCCAGCATGGCCGTGCTGGGACAGGCGTGAACGGAGGGGCCAGCCTTCTCTGTGATAATGAATAATGAAGCAGCACGAGATGGCCGGGGCTGGGGGCTGGGGGGCGGTGTATGGAGTGCTTGCTGCAGGCCAGGCACTTCCCTCAAGGCCCGAGAGATGGAGGGGGGGGGCTGTGGGAGTGGACGCCCCTCCAGCAGGGAGCAAGCTGACAGGAGGCAGATAATGTCACAAGTATAATTACACACTCGACAAACAGTTAGGATGGAAAATACGCAGCAGCTAATGCAATGGACAGCATAATGCCCCCCAAATATCTCCAGACCCTGCTCCCCTGAACCTGTGACTGTGTCGGGCTACCTAGATAAGGGGGATTTAGGGGTGCAGGTCACAACAGAGACAGGGGCCGTGCACAACTGTCTGGGTGAGCTTTGTGCCAACACCAGGGGCTGCAGGAGTGAGGAGAGGGCACGAGAGAGCCAGAGATACAGCCAGACAACTCGCCCTGCATTGTTGGCTCCACAAAGAGGAGCCAGGAACCAATAGAGCAGGAGGCAGCTTCTCCCCAAGTCTCCCCAGTGGACCCCAAGTCTATTCAGAGAAACAGGGGAGCCCCCTGGACAAGAACACAAGAAGCTGAGCCAACCAGGGAATTCCGTTCTAGATGACATCGGGGAAATCAGGTAGGGAACATGTGAAAGGAAGCAACATTCTGGTCTGGGGGCCTCAGGAGGAAGTGGTCTGATAGGAGACTCATGGGGAACGTGGCCTGCAGAAGGTGGAGGGAACAGAAGTGAGGACCCTGAGGCAGGGGGAGACAGTGCCGGGAGGAAAGAAGGGAAGCCCCGCCTATCCTTTACTGTCTGTGCCCCAGTTTCTGCACCCACGAAATGGGCCTCTTCTAAGGAAGACTAAAGGAATGGGTGCCTTTGAACCATGGCATTGGTGAAGAGGGTTGGCAGACCAGGGACCGCTAGTGAACCAGCAAATCTGTCTTAAAGAAGTAGTTTGAGTGTATTGTCACAAGAGGCCAGTCCCTGGAGGGAGACCTCATGCCCAGTAAAACATAGGGTCTGGGAAGGAGAGAGAGACCCTCAGGAGAAAGATTAACATGTTGTTATGTGCCGTCAAGTTGCTTGCAACTCATAGCAACCCTATGTACAACAGCTCTAAATCCTGCTCTATCCTGTACCAATCTCATTGTCTCCGACACACTCATCCTGATTACCCCAGTCACTGAATCAATCTACCTCATAGAGGGCCTTCCTCTCCTGCGCCGTCCCTCCACCCTCCCAAGCATGACATCCCTCTCCAAGGACCGGTCCCTCCTTACAACATGTCCAAAGTATGTCAGACAAAGTCTCAGGATCCTTGCCTCCAAGAAGCCACTTGGTTTTACCCTCTCTAGGACAAACCTGTTTGTTTTCTTAACAGTCCATGGTATATTCAATACTCTTCTCCAGCACCATAGTTCAAGGGCATCAATTCTCCTTCTATCATCCCTCATCATTATCCAGCTCTCTGACTCATAGCAAGTGATTGCAAAGACCACGGCCTGTGCAAAAGGGCTTGAGCACAGCAGAGGCTGTAGGACGGAGCAGGATTGGGCTAGGTCTATTCTATTTGCACAGGCTGGCTGAGAACCAGGCCACATGCAATGGTCCCCAACCACAGTGCTAAGTTCATTTTCTTACCACACGTGGAACGGGCCCAGGAGGTGACAGCACAGTAGCTGGGGCTGGGGGGGGGGGGCTGTGTCCCAATTTGGTCATTCTTTTTTTTTTTTTGGTCATTCTTAAAACAACTCTTTTCCATCACAGATTTGCACATTTAACAGACGACAGCAGAAGAAGGGGCCAGACAGAGCCTGCTGCTGTTGTTGTTGTTGTTGTCATTGGATACCGTGGAGTCAGCTGACCCTCCAGAGGGTTTTCAGAGCCAGTAAAATTGCACAGGAAGAGATTACCCATCTTTCACACGTGGAACAGCTGGTGGGTTCAAAGCGTGGACCTTTGGATCGGTGGCTCCATTCCTTACCATTAAGACCACTGGGCCAATTGGCAGCACCATATTAGATGGAGAAGAGATTGAGGTTGTTAGCAATTACAGCTTGCTTGGATCCACAGTCAACCCTCTTAACGCCAGCAGTCAGGAAATCAAAAGAGAAATTGCATTGGAAAAATCTGCTGTCATGGACCTCTCCAGAGTGCTGAAGAGCAACAATGTCAGTCTAGAGAGTAAGGTATGCCTAACCCAGGCCATGTTCTTCTCAATTATTTGTTATGCTTCAGAAAGTTGAACAATGACTAAGGATGAAAGAAGAAGAATTGATGTCTTCAAGTTGTGGTGCTGGAGAAGAGTCTTGAACATACCATGGACTGCCAAGAAAACAAACAAATAGGTTTGTCTTGGAGAGGGTGAAACCAAGTCTCTCCTTGGAGGCTAGGATGTTTAAGCTCCATCTCACTTACTTTGTGTACGTGGCCAGGAGACATCAGTCCTTGGAGAAGGACATGATGCTCAGAAGGTTGGACAGACAGCACAAGAGAGGGAGACCCCAGATAAGATGTATTGATACAGTAACTGGGGCAGTGGGGGGGTTTTGTGTCAGAATTAGTGAGACTGGCTCAGGACAGGGAAGGGTTCAGAGATGCTGTGCACAAGGTCACTATGCATCACAGGTGACTCAATCAATAACATCCTCTGACAGGTTTGGAAGCAGGTATGGCATCCACTTCCTAAATAACTTGCCTCTGAAAACTCTATGAACTTTGATAAATGTGGGTAGTTGTAGAGAGGCTTCAGGCCTTTTGTTCATGGGGTCGCTGTGAGTCGTGCTCGACTTGAAGGCAATCATCAATAACAAGAACAACAAGGCACACGAGCTCCCTAACGAATGGCAGTAGGGACCTAACTTCTATGTGCACTGGGAAACCAAACAGTTGTGTGACTCACTTTGTGGGGATATTCCGTTTACTGAGGCGGTCTGGCGGCAAACCTGCCGTCCCTCCAAGTGTGCCTGTGCCCAGATATCAAAACATGACCTCAGCTTCACCCTTCCTCCCTGCACCCACAGCCCTCGGCAGAGTGATTCAGAGGCGGTACCTCCCAGCGAGAGGTGGAAGTGGTGCCCCACCTTGGCATCTGGACTGCCCTTGTGACTGGCTTCGGCTGACAGAATGTGCTGGAAGTGATGGTGGACTGAGCCTAGGCCAAACCTCTCACAGCCCTGCCTGCGGCCGCTCTCTCTTGAACCTTTGCCTCCCTTGTGAACAAGCCCAAGCTGGCCAGCCAGGAAAGGAACATCACCCAGGATGAGCCAGCCACTTCCCAACCCAGCAGCTGACCACGGCTACACAAGGGAGCCCACACTGGCCAGAAGAACCGGCCAGCTGAGCCCGGGTGAAATCAGGGACTCACAGAATCATGGATCTTAAGCAACTACGTTTGGAAAGGTTTACTACACAGCAGTAACTAACTGATACGCCCGCCGTGTACAAGTGCTCAAGCCAGCTCTTCAGTTCTCAGATGTAATTCCCAAATCCACGTTACCCACATCCATGCCCTGCCTCCACCCCAGGAGAGAAATGAGTGCAGCAGCTCCCAAAGCTGCTGGCAACCCCACTCCCAACTCCCACATTTCAGCTCTTGTCCTCTGGGCACCTGCTAAGCCTCAGTCTGCCCTGAGACCCCGCACCCCCGCCCCGGGGTCTGGCTTGCCACCCCTCCCCTTGCTGGCTGCTCATTTGCAAAATCTGTTCAAAGTGTCAGCAAGGTGGCTGCACCAGCCTATCGGCAGCCATGACAAAATCCAGATGCCAGGTTAAAAATAGTCTCCTCCAGCTGCCAAGGATGCCAGCCCACGGCCCGGAGGAGACGCCAGCTCCAAGGTGGGGGCCCATCTTCAGGGAAGAATAACAGCCGATGGGGATCGGAGGCTGGGACGTGTCAGCACGCTGGTCCAAGCCCAAGGGCTCATCAGGAGATCCTAGCTGAGCCAGGGTCCCTGCGAGCTTAGGAGGCCAGGGAGGCACAGGGAAGCATGGTGGACACCCAGATCCCTCCCGGGGAAGGTAAGGGGCCCTGACAGTCCCAGAAGCCACTTCCCCTTTGTACAGATTTAATTGGGTACCCCAAGATTTGTAAAGCAGTCTCCAGATTATATCAGACTTAACAACCCCCAGTAATGAGACAATCCCCATGAAAGTTATTCTATTAAACATTCTAGGTATATACAATGGTTCACTATCCCAAAGGGCACTGCTTTATAGAGTGAGCACAGCAAAACAGTATCATTACTAAGGATTGCTGTGCTAAGTGTTTTTGTGTATCTAGAAGTGTCTCTTTAATGTTTTTGTGCATAAGAAGGTACATTACATACTACATTTGACTAATGTTAGATATAAACCATCCCTAACTGTTCCAAGTTAGCCACTTCAAGACTGATTTAGAAATAGACTTCGCACAGTCCCAGGACTACCTTTATTATAAATCCTAATCTCTATAGTTGGAAGCACTACTTACTTGTTGTTGATGAAACATTCTTCTAGGTTGTATAGCCCTGGTGTGTCCACTTGCTATACAGAGGTAATTCATGGTTGCTGTGAAGCTAAACACTGTGACACTGATGTGTCAAATGCGATAATGGTCACCCATGGTGGACAGTGTTTGGTGGAGCTCCCCTATTAAAACAAGCTTGGAAGCAGGAGTGGCATCCACTTCTGAAATAGCTTGCCTCTGGAAACGCGATGAACCTGGAGAAAGGACGAAAGTTATACAGGTGTCCAGGACTTTTATTCATAAGGTTGCTATGAGTTGCCTCCAATTCGACGGCACTCAACAACAAACAACAATCTCTATAGTTGGACGTGGGAATGGCATCCACTTCCTAAACAACATGCCTCTGGAAACTTCATGAACTTTGATAAATGATGATAGTTATAGAAAGGTTTCAGGGCTTTTGTTCACAGGGTCGTTATGAGTTGTGCTTGACTCAATGGCGATCAACAACAATAATCTCTATAGGGGCTGTCTTCCCATCTAGGACTGAGTTCTATTTGCTCTGTGAATGAATTTTCTACATAGGGTTTATTTTAAGTCAATCTATTTTTTTTATATTTTATTTTATTATGTGTGTACCGTCAAATCAGATCTGACTGGTACAGGAAGAGATTGTCCCTCCTTCTCTGGCAGAGCATCTGGTGGATTCGAACCATGCACCTCTGGGATTGCAGTGCAGTTTCTTGCCACTAGGCCACCAGAGCTCCCCTCAATTTACTTTTTATTTAAAAAAAAAAAGTAGTGTTGTGATTTGAGTGAAAGTGTACAAGGCAAATAAGTTTTCCATTCAAGCCCCTATTTTATCATAATACTATCAGTTCGGCTATGCTTTTCCCACTTCCCCTCTGTGAGTCTCATTTCCAT